TCCTAGTCTGCATCAGACGGGAGCAAACAAAGCTGAGCCAATATCGGGCCTCCTGGGTGAAATCCCGTTTGTAAATCTTGTGGCGCGGGTCAATTCAGGAGGGGGGTTCCTTTTGCTATGACAGATGCTATCCAAGCACGCTCGTTATCTTTGTTGGTTACTTTTGCATCATATTCAGCTGTGCCTGATGACTAGTCTTCAAAGAATAGATCATTGATTATGCCTACATCATAGAGAACCTGAACCCCTCGAACTAGAATGAAGTCCAAAAATATCTTATTCTGCCTTTGCTCAGCATTTCTTGAGGCAGCATAAGAAGCATAGAACTCCCTCACAAGTGTTTCATTATAATCATCTAGGGCATCCGTGAAGATTCCCCATTTCCTCTTCTAAATGTTTTCAATTATGTGAGGGTAGTTCTCTTTCAGACCATTCAGGCTTAACTGCTTCTCCTCGAGAATGTTTCTTTTTTTTATCCCCTCTTTGTATAGGTTCCATGAGCCTAGGACCCTAAACCTCGAATCTTCCCTGCTCTTCTGCCTTGCTTCAGCTTGTAAGTCAACTGATGGCAGGATGCCCGTCTATGCCCCCTTCTCTTCAGACTGGGAGGAGTGCTCAGAAGTGTTGCGGCTGGTTTCCGGCCGTTGACGTTTAGACTGTTGTGCTTGTTGGTTCGGAGTAGCTCTTTTCTTTCCACGAGCAGGTGGTGATCGTATTGCAATAGATTTCCTTGGTGCCATTCCTGCAATAAAACAGTGTGTGAGTGGTGGGCATAGCATAAAAAGTATGTGGAGTAAAAATAACATAGATAAATAATTTATGCGATGGGTTATGCGGTCTCATACCCACTATGCAGACCGCAAACTTATCGCAGAATTTCACACCCTAAACTTAAGGGAATATATGATCGCAAAAACCACCGCAAAACTAGTTTTGCGACCGCAAAGGGATTGCAGAATTTCACACACGAAAGGTAGTTTAACTGATTGTATTTGCGGTAGCTATGCGGTCCGCAAAACACCTTTGCGACCGCATAAGCGGTCGCATAAGTTCAAATCACTAGGCCTTCTAGGGTCTTGTTTGCGATGACTTTGCGGATCGCAACCCAATTATGTGGGCCGCAAAGATCATCCTCTTAGGTCAACAATGGTCAACCCTCCCACATACACAATTCCCTACACTCGCAGGCAAAAATTTAACCACCAATCGCCCACACAGGTACCTACCACACATGTTTGAGAAAAAAAAATGAGATATGGAGTTCAAATGATGGACACTATGCAATAAATACACAAGAAAAAGAAGATAAAAAAAAGTGAAAGAGTCACATACCAAATATCGGAGCAAGACGAAGGTGAAATCTGAGTTATGAGCGAGGTAAATTCCTTAATTCCAATCCTTGATATGTGATATGTGTGCTTCATTAAAATATTTTTGGCGTTTCTTTTGTTTTTTTGTGTTTTTGATTTTGTGAGAGTTGTTAAGTGTTCGTGTGCGAGTGGGGTTGACAGTATGCGAAGGGTTAGGGATTTATACCTGGATGTTTTTCGGTGGGCAAGTGGTCGCATAACACATTATGCGGTCGCATATGTGTTATGCGATGATTTTAGAGCTGTGTTATTTTACCTCCATTCTGCGATGCATTCTACGGTCGCATAACTGCTATACAGACTGTAGAACTTGAACTCTTACTGCAGTTTTTAGACCCAAGTTCCCTAAATTCTCTGACCGTGTTTGCGACAACTATGCGGTTCGCAAAGTCATTATGCGACCGCATAGTTGCCGAAAACCCCTGATCCACCATTTTGCTTTAGTCCTTGCACTCTGTTTCATGGTAAATTGGGCTACCTACACTCTAATACACACGTCAACCTGTTCAATCATTGACAACTAAAAAAAATAATTTTACCACACATGGGTTGCCTCCCAAGAAGCGTTTGATTTAACGTCGCGGCACGACGATGTTGTTCCCTTTTGGGCTACTCAGTGGTGGGGGTTGGAATATCCTTGAGAGCAATTTTGTCTACCAAGTTCTTCTCTCCTGTTGTGCCCAGGTAATGCTTAACCCGTTGGTCATTTACTTTGAAAGTGCGAAGTCCGTCCTCCGACTCTAATTCAATAGCACCGTAAGGGGACACATTCACAATTTTGAATGGGCCAGACCATTTGGATTTGAGTTTGCCCGAAAATAACTTGAGTCTTGAGTTGAAGAGCAAGAACAAGTCACCAGATTTGAATTCCCGCTTCAAGATCTTCTTGTCATGAACAAACTTCATTCGTTCCTTATACATGGCTGCACTCTCATAGGCATGGAGACGAAATTCTTCCATTTCGTTGAGTTATGTCATTCTCAGATTAGCAGCTTCAGCCCAGCCAAGATTCAACCTTTTCAGAGCCCACATGACTTTGTGTTCAAGCTCCACGGGCAAATGACACGCCTTACCAAAGACTAACCGGTACGGTGAGGTGCCAATGGGAGTCTTAAATGCGGTGCGATATTCCCACAACGCATCATCTAGGTTCCTTGACCAGTCGATCCTGTTTGCATTGACAGTTTTTGCTAGGATATTTTTGATCTCCTTGTTGGAAACTTCAACTTGACCACTCGACTGAGGATGATAAGGTGTGTCCACCTTACGCTTTACGCCATACTTTTCGAGCAGCCCGGTGAAAGCCTTGTTGCAGAAATGAGAACCACTATCACTAAGGATGGCCCGGGGAGTACCAAACCGCGTGAAAATGTTCTTCCTTAAGAATGCGGTCACACTCCTTGCCTCATTGTTGGGCAATGTGATTGCCTCAACCCACTTGGAGACATAGTCCACTCCCACCAAGATATATTTCATGCCATAAGAACTCACAAAGGGACCCATGAAATCAATCCCCCACACATCAAAGATCTCGACCTCCATTACAAACTTCATAGGCATCTCATGCCTTTTAGAGATTGATCCTTGCCTTTGACATTGCTCACAAGCCTTGACCATTTGATTCGCGTCATGGTAGATAGATGGCCAATAATAGACACATTCACTCACTTTCGCGGTCATCCGATTTCCTCTATGATGACCCACAACCGGGGAGTCATGGCATGCTTTGAGAATTGGCATTATTTCATCTTCCGGAACACATCGCCGAATGATGTTGTTGGCACAAATACGAAACAAGAAGGGCTCGTCCCAATAGTATTGCCTACACTCCCACAAGAACTTTTTCTTTTGATATGTTTCTAATCCATCGGGGACAATGTTACTAACCAGATAGTTAGCAATATCGGCATGCCAAGGAGCAAATGTGTCAGACAATGCCAATATGTTCTCATCTGGAAAAGCATCATTGATGTCAAAGTTCTCTTTTGGCCTCCCTGCTTCTTCAAGCCTAGATAAGTGATCCGCAACTTGGTTTTCTGTCCCTCTTCAATCCTTGACTTCAAATTCAAACTCTTGCAACAAAAGGACCCATTAAATCAATCTTGGCTTGGCATCCTTCTTCGCCATAAGATAGCGAAGAGCAGCATGATCAGTGTAGACTATCACCTTGGATCCTAATAAATAGGCCCAAAATTTTTCAAAAGCATAGACAATGGAAAGAAATTCTTGCTCGGTCATAGTATAATTCATTTGAGCACCATTGAGAGTCTTGCTTGCATAGTAGGCAAGATGAAGGATTTTGTTATGCCGTTGACCAAGCACCGCCCCAATGGCTACACCACTGGCGTCATACATGAGTTCAAATGGAAGAGACCAATCAGGTGTGACAATAATAGGTTCTGTGGTGATCTTTTCTTTCAACTCCTCAAATGCTTTGAGACACTTTTCATCAAATACGAACGTAGCATCTTTTTCAAGGAGCTTGCATATGGGGTTTGCAATTTTTGAGAAGTCCTTGATAAAACGCCTATAGAAGCCGGCGTGCCCCAAAAAACTTTGGACACCCTTTACTAAAATGGGTGGAGGAAGCTTAGAAATGATTTCAATCTTTGCTCGGTCAACCTCTATGCCTTGTTTGGAAATTTTGTGGCCCAAAACAATGCACTCATCCACCATGAAGTGGCACTTTTCCCAATTTAGTACAAGGTTTGTTTCTTCACATCTTTTGAGTACTTGTATAAGGTTGTCAAGACAATGCTCAAAGGAATCACCCACTATAGAGAAGTCATCCATAAACACTTCTAGGAAATCTTCCACCATGTCCGAGAAAATTGACATCATGCACCGTTGGAAGGTAGCCAGAGCGTTGCATAGCCCAAATGGCATCCGGCTAAAAGCAAAAGTCCCATATGGGCATGTGAATGTTGTCTTCTCCTAATCTTCCAATGCAATGCTGATTTGGTTATAGCCGGAGTATCCATCCAAAAAGCAATAAAATGACCTTCCCACTAGCCGATCAAGCATTTGATCAATAAAAGGCATAGGGAAATGGTCTTTGCAAGTGGCACTGTTGAGATTTCGGTAATCCATGCAAACTCTCCATCCGGTCACAGTCCTTGTTGGGATGAGCTCATTTTTCTCATTTTGGATAACGGTCATGCCTCCTTTCTTTGGCACACATTGCACCGGGCTCACCCAAGAACTATCGGCAATGGGGTAGACTACCTCGACGTCTAACCACGTGATGATTTCCTTCTTCACCACCTCCTGCATGGACGGGTTAAATCTTCTTTGGTGTTCCACACTAGGTTTGCTTCTTTGCTCCAATTGTATTTTGTGCTCACAGATTCCGACGGGAATTCCTCGGATGTCCGCTATTGTCCACCCAATGGCTTGTTAATGTTCCCTTACGACATTTAATAAATGATCTACCTGCACATCATTTAACAAGGAAGAAACGATTACCGGTAAAGTATTATTAGAGCCAAGAAATTTATACCTTAAGTGTGGTGGAAGTGGCTTGAGTTCAAGTTGTGGCGGCTCAATAATTGAAGGCTTTGCTGGGGGAGTGGCTCTATTCTCTAAGTCAAGAGAAAGCTTCTTTGGTGCGTAAGTGTAAGACCCACATCCTTATAATGCACTCATCGATTCCATGTACCCCTCCATGTTTTCACCATCGAAATTTACCAATATCGTCGCCAAAGACTCACCTAGGCATTCTTCTTCCATCTTTATTTCACTTGCGTCCTCTACCTCATCAACAAAATCAATGACTGAGATGCCTTCATATGCATGTGGCAACTTCATACCCTTATTTGCTTGGAAAGTGACCTCTTCATCATTAACTCGAAACTTGATTTCATTTCGTTCCAAATCCATAAGTGCTCTTCCGGTAGTAAGGAATGACCGCCCCAAGATGATAGGGATTTCTTTGTCAACGGCACAGTCAAGGATCACAAAATCGGTCGGAAGGAGGAACTTTCCCACTTTCACTAGGACATCATCAATAATTCCCACTGGTCTTTTGATTGAACGATCGGCCATTTGCAACCTCATGCTTGTAGGTCTCTGCATGCTTAACCCCGCTTGCTTGTAAATGGTAAATGGCATCAAGTTAATGCTAGCCCCATTGTCACAAAGAGCCCTTGCAAAATCTCGCAAGCCAATAGTGCATGGAATGGAGAATGCTCCCGGGTCTTCTTTCTTTTCAACGGTGGTTGTTGCAATAATGGAGCTAAACTGGTGAGTCACATTCACCACTTCATTCTTGGTGGTTCTTTTCTTGGTTATCAAGTCCTTTAAGTATTTAGCAAAACCCCTCATCTCTTGAAAGGCTTCCACAAATGGTATGTTCACCGATAATTGCTTGAGAATGTCATAAAATTTCTCGAATTTGCTATCATCAACCCTCCTAGCAAGTCTTTGAGGGAACGGAGGGGAAGGTCTAGGAATTTCTACTAGAGCTTTTGGTGTCTCTTTCGCCTTTTCCTTTACCCTTTTATGATTTTCTTCTTGGACTTTTACTTCTTTTGGGATCTTTTCAACTTCAATAACAATACGCACTTCAACTTGTGCTTCAACCTCTTGCTCAAGATCATCTACTCCAACAATTTGTTCATTTTCTCCTTGAAGTACCTTTCTGCTTCGCGTGGTGATTGCCATGCAATGAGAAGTTGGACCACTCCCATTTCCTTTAGGGTTTGCAATTGTGTCACTTGGGAGTCTGCCCTTCGGCTTTGTATTATGCTCTCTTGACAAATCTCTCATTTGTATTTCTAGCTTTTGTATGGATACGGTGTGTGACCCCACAAGTTCGGCCATGTTTTTCATTATAGTGTCGCCTCTTTCTTGATTTTGCAATATTCTTTCAAGTATGCTCTCCAACTTGGACTCACTTGAAGAACCTTCCTTATAATACGATGAGTTAGAGTATTGCCCCTTTTGTGGAACATAAGGGTTTGAACTCCGGTTTGCATAGTTGTTGTTGTTGTTGCTCCAATTACCTTGACTTGATCCACCTTGATCATTGCGCCACTGTTGATGGCCTTGCCCTTGCGGGTCAGGCCTCCATTGATTTTGTTGGCGATAACCACCTTGAGAATTATGGACATAGTTTGCCTCCTCGCAATCTTCGTTTGACAAGGGTTGCACATCTTCTACAACATTTACATTTTTAGTTTGGTTTTCAGGGAATATCTTGGTTAACACATGAATGTTTGTGGCAAGATCGGTAATTACTTGATCTCTCTCTTGGTTCTCCTTAATCATGTTGGTCAAAGAGGGAGTACCGTATGCAATTCCACCCGTGGTATCTTCCGAGTGCCAAGCTTGATTGTGTTCTGCCATCTTGTCGAGAATTTGTGTGATCCTTGTGAATGTTTTGTCCATAAACAATCCATCCGCCACATTCTTTGCTATGGATTGGTTCAACTGATCCAAACCCATGTAAAACTTTTCTAACAAGATTTTGTCCGAAAAACCATGATTAGGCGACCTCACTAGGTATAGCTTGAACCGATCCCACACCTCATGTAGGTGTTCTCCCGGTAGTTGCTTGAAGAAGAAAATTTTATCCTTGAGCTCGGATTTCTTGCTTTGTGGGAACCATTTGGCTAGGAAAGCACGAACTAGTTCAGGCCAAGAGTGAATGGAGTGAGGTGGTAGATTTTGGATCCATTTCCTTGCCTCTCCAACTAGTGAGTACTTGAATACCCTCAGTATTAGGGCATCATCTGACACGTTGTTCTGTTTGTGCATCGCACACACACCCAAGAAGTTTCTAAGATGTTGTGTTGGATCATCATCGGTAGAATTCCTAAAACACCCCTCTTCTTTAAGCATTAGGATCAAACCATGTTCCACTTTGAAGGTAGCAGCCTCAACTCGCGGAGGGACAATGGCATTTGTGTCCTCGATGCACTTATCTATATCCGCAAAAGGATTCCCTTCTTCGTCATACTCTGCTATGTTTATCTAGCACACTAAGCAAATCAAGCAAAGTATGATGGAATAAAAATGTGAATTAAAGCACATACCAAATAGTAATTTCAAGACCATATTCCCCGGTAACGGCGCCAAAATTTGATACGCTCAAATTACACCTAAATAAATAGTGTAAATCGGTCGATGTCAAATATAATAACCCAACTAGGTTGGGGTCAAATCCCACAGGGAATAGGTGTGAAAAGGTTACTTGAGTAGTGTGAAACTTGACTTAATTTGTAATTCTGTTCCGTTAGCTAAAAAAAGAATGTTGTAATTGAGTGAAATGAAGACAAGTAATTAATTTGATTAAGAAAACCAAGGTTGTGTCCCCATTGATGGAATGTAATGCTATCGGTATTAATATGATATATTTCTAATGGAAGGTTCTTTGATATGCAAATGGTTTCTAAGTGACTACCCAATATTTCCCAATAGTTGGGTAATATCTACTCTTTAAGATTTTCCCAAATGTAAAAGAGTTGCGATTGAAAATAACCAATTTATACCAAATAGAACCCACTCATTCCTAGGCGATTCCATTAAACAAGGGTTAAAGCCTTGAGTTTTTGATATTCAATTCTACCAAACCCTAGCCCACTTTTCCAAGTAAAGATAGTGAAAAATGGAATTAGTTAATGTTTGCAACCACTAACATCACATGAAGCATAAGAACTGAATAAATATCAACCAACCATTATATTTATATTCAATGGTAAACACCCATTAACATTACACCCATCTAGGGTCCACAACCTTAGTAATTAAAACTAGCTACACATACTGAAATCTAAGAACAAAGCGATAAATAGAGTCATAAAGGTTACAAAGGTACAAGATTCTTTCTTCAAAAGTCTCCAAAGCAATGGTGCATTCAATGCTCCTAAAGTAGTCTCTTTTTTTGACTTAGCTGCCCCACAAAACCCTAATAAATCTATTTATAGTGGGCTAAAAGTCGGAGCCAAAATTGGACAAAAATAACCCTGCAGTGCATTTATGCGGCCGCATACTGGTCGCAGATCATGTATGTGGTCCGCATATTATTCGAAATCGTCGCATAAGCTCATGTCTCCAAACCCAGCTCTTGACCGCATTTCAATTATGCGGTCCGCATATACATTATGCGACCTCATATTCCTCCGCATAAGTGCTTCTCAGCTTTCTTGATTTCAGTTATGCGATCACTATGCGGTCCGCATAATGGGTCGAATTTTTTTCTCTTCAGTTAACCAACAATCTGCTTCAGTCTGCGATGGTTATGCGGTCCACATATGCATTATGCGACCGCATACTTGCATCATTTCTGCCCTTTTGTGGCTTTTTAACTTCTTTTCAATGTTTTTGGGTCCTCAAGCCTCATGCACTGCAGAACACCAAAACGTCATAAAAATTAACTAAAAATGCATTGAAAGATGAGCTAAAGTCTATGTAATTGGTATCAAATGTGCCGAAATTCTACGGCACATCACACACCATGAAGACGAACAATCTCATGAATATAAATCTGAGCCAGCTGCTATAAAGAATAGGTAGTCATAACTGGAATAAAGTGTGCAGACTTGGTTAGTCTGTCCACAATAACCCACACTGCATCAAATCTCCTCAAGGTCCGTGGAAGTTCAACTACAAAATCCATAGTGATATGCTCCCACTTCCACTCCGAAATATAAACCCTCTGAAGCAAACCACCGGGTCTCTGATGCTCGTACTTCACCTCCTGACAGTTCAAACACCGAGCACTATACTCAATAATATCTTTATTCATTCTCCACAACCAATAGTGTTGCCTCAAATCCTGATATATCTTCGTGACACCCGAATGAATGAATACCGCAAACTATGGGCCTCCTCAAGTATCAACCCTCGTAACCCATCCATATTTGAAACACAGATCCGACCTTGCATCGTCAATACCCTATCATCTCCCATAGTAACCTCCTTAGCATCACCGTGCTGCACCGTGTCCTCCAGGATAATCAAGTGGAGATCATCATACTGACATGCCTTGATGTGCTCGAACAAAGAAGACTGTGAAACCATGCAAGAAAGAACCCAACCACGCTCCAAAATATCCAACCTCACAAATCGATTGGCCGAAGCCTGAACATCCAATGCTAACAGTCTCTCCCCAACTGGAATATACACAAGACTCCCCATGCTCTCAGCCTTCCCTCAAGGCATCGACTACCACATTGGCCTTCCCCGGATGATAAAGAATGGTGATATCAAAGTACTTTAGCAACTCTAACCACCTCCGCTGCCTCAAGTTCAAATCCTTTTACTTTTACAAGTGGTGAAGACTCCTATTATTTGTGAACACCTCACAAGATATGTCATAGAGATACTACCTCCAAGTCTTCAATGTGTGAACAATGACTGCCAACTCCAAATAATGTACATGGTAGTTATTATCATGGGGCTTCAACTTACGCGAAGCTTAAGCGATCACTCTATCCTCCTGCATAAACACACATCCAATGCCAATCCATGAAGCATCACAATAAACTGTATAAGAACCTCTCGAAGGCAAAATTAGAACTGGAGCTATAAGCAAGAAAATTTTGAGCTTCTGAAAGTTCTCCTCACATTCCTCAGACCACCTAAATAGGGAACCCTTCTGGGTCAATCTAGTCAAAGGTGCAGTAATGGACGAGAAACCCTCCACAAAACGATGATAATACTCGTCCAAATCAAGGAAAATCCGGATCTTCCTAGCAGAAGACAGTCTGGTCCAACTCTGAACTGCCTCAATCTCCTTGGTATCCACTTTAATCCCCGTATTGGACACCCACGTGTCCAAAAATCGCCACCGAATCAAGCCAAAACACACACTTGGAGAATTTAGCATATATGTTCTTCTCCCTCAAAGTCTGAAGCACGATCCTCAGATGCTTCTCATGATCCTCCTGGCTGCGTGAATACATCAATATATCATCAATAGAAACTATGACAAAGGAATCAAGATACGACTGAAACACATTGTTCATCAAGTGTATAAAGGCTGTTGGGGCATTGGGCAGCCCAAAAGACATCACCAGAAACTCATAGTGACCATAACTGGTCCTGAAAGCCATCTTCAGAATATCTAAATCCCGGACCTCAAATCAATATTCGAGAACCCTAACACCCTGAATTTGATCAAATAAGTCATCAATGCGCGGTAGCGGGTGCTTGTTCTTAATAGTAACCTTGTTCATCTCCCTGTAGTCAATACATATCCTCATAGTACCATCCTTTTTCTTCACAAATAGAACCACTGCACCCTAAGGTGACACACTAGGTCTGATGAAGCCCTTATCAAGTAGCTCCTACAACTGTTCCTTCAACTCCTTCAACTCTATAAGTGCTATGTGATATAGTGAAATAGAGATGGGCTGAGTGCCCGACACCAGATCAATACAAAAATCAATATCCCTATTAGGTGGCATGCCCGACAGGTCTACTGGAAACACATATGGGAAGTCTCTCACCACAAGAACTGGCTCAACTGTAGGAGTATCAACACTAACATCCCTCACGAATGCCAAGTACGCCAAACATCCCTTCTCAACCATCCGCTGAGCCTTCAAATGTGAAATCACTCTACTGGGAACATGATGCAGAGAGCCTCTCCACTCCAACCCCGGCAACCCCCGCATCACCAATGTCATAGTCTTAGCGTGACAATCAAGGATAGCGTGATATGCGACAACCAATCCATGCTGAAAATCATGTTAAAATCAACCATGCTAAGTAATAAGAGATCAATTCTCGTCTCATAACCTCCAATGGTTACCACACATGACCGATATACATGGTCCATCAAAATAGAATCACCCACTGATGTAGACACATAAGCAAGCATAACTAAAGAATCACGAGGCATATCCAAATAACGAGCAAAGTATGATGACACATATGAATAAGTGGAATCAGGATCAAATAATACTGAAGCATCTCTATGGCACACTGAAACAATACCTGTGATCACAGTGTTAGAAGAAACTAACCCTAGTTTGGCAGTAAATACATAGAAATAGGCATGATAACCACCTGACTAACGTCCCCTGCGGGGGTGGCCTCAACCCGTACGACCTCCACCATGAGCTGGCTGAGCGAGTGGTGTAGAAAATGGAACATTTGTCATAATCTGGCCTCCCTACTGCACTGGACCTCTGTTATGACAGGGGCAATACTTTCTCACATTCCCTAACTCTCCACAGTCATAGAAACCTCGATCTAGGAATGACTGTAGGGCCTGAATCGGACCCCGAGAACTAGAATAACCACTAGTAGAACCCGATACTGATGAACCTTGAGGTGATGGAGCACGATACGAACTTTGAGATGGGAGTGCTCTGAAATATGACTAATACGAATGAGTGTTTTATGAATCATGGCTAGCTGATGAACCATGAGGAACCTGATGAGCCAGCCGAGCAGGACTAAAAGGACGACCTATGTTGTGATGTGACTGACTTCTAGATGAGGCACTACTAAAACCACCTAACCTATGGGGCCTTTTGTCCTCCCGCTCCTCGTGCTCAAGATTGCAAACCTACTCTAAGCGCCTAGCGATCTCAACTACCTAATCAAACCTAGCATCTGTCTCGGCCTCTTGAGCCAAACTGTAATATAGGCCACAGTTGAGACCATCAATGAACCTCCTGATGCTCTCTCTCTAAGTGGGAACCAACCATATAGCATGACGGGCCAAATATGCAAACCTCATCTCGTACTGAGTCACAATTATATCTCCCTAGCATAGCTGCTCAAAACCTCTACGCAGCTCCTCTCTGCGAGTTTGGGGAACAAACTTCTCTAAGAAGACAGCTGAGATTTCATGCAATAAAAGTGGTGCTGCGCCAGCTTGCCTACCCAACTCATAAGCCTAACACCATCTATAGGCTGCTCTTATCAGCTAAAAAGTACTAAATGCAACTCCACTGATGTCCAAAATACCCACAATGCGAATAACCGCTGACACCGGTCTTGAAAATCATGAGCATCCTTCAATTCTCCCCATTGAACTTTGGCGGATCAAGCTTCCTAAACTGTTCCAACCTCCTATTCTCCTCATCAGTCATAGGTGGAGCAACCTCGGCCCGAACAGTAACAACTGGTGAAACTGGTAACACCCTTGGAGTTTGATAACCCTGAGCTAGCTGCTCTGGAGTACGAGCGGTGGGAGTCTGGGCTCGTCTCCCGGCCTATGAGGTAGCTTGGTGCAAATGGCATCGCAATAGCCTGCGCCAAGCGTATACACACACTAAAAATCTGAGCTAAAGCCTCATGAAGACCAAGTATCACAATAGGTACCGCCGGTGTCCGAGCTGGTCCCACCGACTCAATAGTATACGAAACCTGCTCCTCCACTAGAGCAACTGGTGGCTCAACAGGTGTTGCTCTAGCTGTAGTGCGAACTCCTCCTCAGCCTCTACCTCGACCCCGACCTTTCGCGATCCTGACTGATGGTACTGATGCCTGATCAACTGATTGTGTCCTCACCATCTGTGAGAGAATAGAAGAATAGAGGTTCATACTTTGGAATTAACAAATCCACATGACAATAATGCAAGAAAGTGAAGTTTCCTAATAATTTGGTAGCCTCTCGAAAATAAGTGCAGACGTCTCCGTACCGACCCGCAAGACTCTACTAAAGTTTCTCATGACTCGTTAGACCTAGGTAACCTAGTGCTCTGATACCTACTTGTCACGACCCAACTTCTACCGGAGCTGCGACAACATCTATTACTACTTTCTAGGAAAGCCAACAGTTCCACAATAATAGTAAATTCAATAAAATAGAATTTAATAAACTCAACAGTGGAGATATTAGGAAATAACAACGAAAGTACAGTAATACTTCTAGAGTCAATGAGTACATGAGCTCTACTGAATATCAAAATACAAGGCCAAAGCCTCAATACAACTGTCTGAACAATAGAAAAGCAATAACATGCATAAATGAAAGAGAACTTCAAGGTCTGCGGACAACATAACAACTACCTCGTAGTCTCCCAAAGCTGGTACCCGCACAACTCAAGAATCAACGCATCCAGAAGTACCTGGATCTACACACGAAGTGCAGATTGTAGTATGAGTACAATCGACCCCATGTACTCAATAAGTAACAAACCTAACCTTGGGCTGAAAGTAGTGACTAGCTCAGAAGAAACAGTTAGTGATCGATAACAATAACCAATAAGTGCTCGGGATATAAGGGAGATAGTATAAGTAAATAACTCGGTGATATCATGTTCAGCTCGTTCCCATTATAGGAATTTAGACATGCTTTCCATGTATAAAAGTTAAAGCCTAACATGTCAAAGACATTTCATTTATGATCTAGCATGAGGAAAGGACATCTCTATGCCTACATGTCAAATATACATGTCAACTCAATATCATCACAATTAAACCATCAAGAATATCAACAGTTAGCACGATCACGGTGCCTGGCACAAGGCCCTCACCATCACACACAATAACACTTATCACTATATGGGTGCCTGGCATAAATGCCCCTCACCAAAGCACGTATATATAACATTGTACATGCGCTCATTGCTGGCATGTCATACTCCGGAGGGGCGGATCCTAGCCCAAGCGCTAATCAAAACACATAGCCCTATAGTGGGGCCTAGTGCACGCGTCACCCCAAATCAGTAATACTTGCCCAATATAAGCATGGCTTACACATCACCGCAAAATCAATACAAAATCGGCTCTATGGCCCAAGCTTAATGTAAGGCCCTGTAAAATTTTATAAAGGAATTTAAGGTTTCGTGGTGCCGTAGTAGGCTTACGTGTTGTAGGACTACCTCGCACACCTCTTAAGTTTGACTCAATTTGGGTGATTGTGGATTGACTAACGAAATCATCACACTTCTTGTCGATTAAGGCTACTGACACAGCAGAACAATATGCTCAGTTGTATATCAAAGGAATTGTCAGGCTGCATGACACTCCAGTTTCTACCATTTCTGATCGGGGGGCATAATTCACGGTTAATTTTGGAAGACATTTCAGCAAGGTTTGGGTACTCAGGTGAATCTTAGTACAACCTTTCACCTAAAGATATGTTGCGCACTTGTGTTCTAGACTTCAAAGGTAGCCGGGATGATCATTTTCCATGCATAGAATTTGCATACAACAATAGTTATCATGCTAGCATTCAGATGGCACCGTTTGAGGCTTTATATGGTAGGAGATGTAGATCTCCCATTGGGTGGTTCGAGATTGGGGAAATAGAGTTTATAGGTCCAGACCTCGTGCATCAGGCTATGGAAAAAGTTAAGATAATTAAGGAGCTGTTGAAGACTGCTCAGAGTCATCAAAAGATCTATTCAGATGTTCGTAGTAGGGATTTGGAGTTCAAAGAAGATGATTGGGTATTCTTGAAGGTTTCCCCCATGAAGGGTGTAATGCGATTTGGTAAGAAAGGGAAATTGATTCCGAGGTATGTCGGACAATACAAAATCATTCAGAGGATCGGTGAGGTGGCGTACAAGCTTGAGCTACCACATGAGATGTTATTAGTGCACCCGGTGTTTCATGTGTCTATGTTGAAGAAAGTAGTTGGGGACCCGACACTCATTGTTCCGGTTGAGATATTGAGATTAATGAGGAATTGAGTTATGAAAAGATTCAAGTTTCTATTATTGATCGGCAAGTCCGAAAGTAGAGAAATAAAGAAATTACCTCCGAGAAAGTGTTATGGAGAAACCAGCAGGTTGAAGAGGCTACTTGGGAGGCCGAGGAAGAAATGAAGAAAATGTATCCTTATTTTTTTTGAATAACCATGTATTTATAAAGTCGTGTTCTATGAAAATGCTAAGAGTTACCTTCTATGAATCATGTATCATTTGTACAGTTGATGTTAAGGGTATTCCTTTTCTGGTAATATATTGCTTATGAGGCCATAGTTGGTGTTGTTTTATGTTATATTGCGTTATAAAATTAAGTACATGTTGTTAGGATTGGTTCCTGGGATTCTCTGACAGGTGGATAGGCCCAGTTACAAGGGAGACTCAGGCGAAAGTTTTGGAACTTTAGGGAGTTAGCCAAATTTTGAAACTACTGGTGTGTGTGAATTAACAACTGGGCCACATTGAATTCTAATGACGTATTTTAACCCTCATTCAAGGACGAATGATCCTAAGTGGAGGAGAATGTAAGCCCCCGCAAAATTTTGTAAAGGAATTTAAGGTTTTGTGGTGCCAAAGTATGCTTACGTGTTTCAGAAACAATGCGCTGTTGATCTAAGGAAAATTTTGGGCAGAAAAATACATTTCTGCGGCCCACTATGCGGCCGCAGAATCACTCTACGGGCCGCATAATGGCCGCAGAGTGAAGCAGCTTAGGCAAGTTTGGAGACCAGTTCTGCGATGCATTATGCGATTGTAGAACAGGTCTGCGGGCCGCATAATGACCGCAAGCTGAGTCAGTTTTGCCCATTTCCGGAGGGCAATTATTCGGCCTATTCCTCGGACCGCAGAAGCATTATGCGGTCACATATACGACCGCAGACCTATGTCGGGGCAACTTGTTTTCTAATTTTTGTAACACGACC